CTTTAGCTCAGGTCATGATCCCAGGGTCCTGGGATCGAGCACAGCATCGCCCCACCTCGGGCTCCCTGCTCCGCGGGAAGCCTGCTTCTCCCTCTCCCACTCCCCCTGCTTGTGGTCCTGCTCCCGCTCTCTCTCTCTGCCAAATAAATAAAATCTTTAAAAAAAATAGCTAAAATGGTAAATTTTATGTGTATTTTACCACGATAAAACACACACACACACGCACGCATGCACACACACAAAGAGCCAACTAGGAATAAAAAGAAATTTCCTTAATATTAAAAGGGCATTTATGAAAATTTCACAGTTCAATAGTGAAAGACCGAAAGCTTTCCCTCTAAAATCAGGAATGATACCCACTTTCACCACTGCTATTCGACAAATAAATAAATAAATAAAAACCTTAAAAAAAAAAAAACAAAAACAGCTGGACAGTTCCTGAAAAAGTTTGGTATATGATACACACCTATTAGAATGACCAAAATCTGGAACACTGACACCACCAAATACTGACAAGGATGTGGAGTAAAGGGAGCTCTCACTAATTTCCAGGAAGAATGCAAAATGGTACAGCCACTTTGGAGGACAGTCTGGCAATTTCTTACAAAAACTAAACATACTCTGGAGTGGAGGGGGGTGGGAGGGATTGGGTGGCTGGGTGATGGACATTGGGGAGGGTATGTGCTACGGTGAGCGCTGTGTATTGTGTAAGACTGATGAATCACAGACATGTACCCCTGAAACAAATAATACATTATGTTAATAATTTTAAAAATTAATTAAAAAAATAATAAGGCTGGGAAAATACCAGGAAAAAAAACACACACCAAAAAAACTAAACATACTCTTACTATATGATCCAGAATTGCATTCCTTGCTATTATTTACCCAAAGGAGTTGGAAACTATCTCTACACAAAACCCTGCACATGGATGTTTTATAACAGTTTTATTCATAACTGCCAAAACTTGAAAGGAAACAAAATATCCTTCAGTAGATGAATGAATAAACTGTGATACATCCAGACTAGACTATTGAGCACTAAAAAGAAATTAGCTATCAAGCCATGAAAAGACATGGAGGCATGTTAAATGCATATTTCTAAGTGAAAGAAGGTAATCTGAAAAGGCTACATATTGCATGATTCCAATTATATGACATTCTATAAAGGCAAAACTGGAGACACTAAAAAAAAAAAAATCAGTGGTTGTCAGGGTTGGGTGGGGGTGGGGGAATGAATAGGCAGAACACAGAGGATTTTTAAGGCAGCGAAACTACTCTGTATGATACTCTAATGATAGATACCTGTCATTATGTATTTGTCCAAAACTCTAGAATGTATACTACCAAGAGTGAACTCTAAGGTAAACTATGGACTTTGGGTGATTATGATATGTCAGTGTAGGTTCATCAATGTAGGTACAGAGTGTGGACCATTCTGGTAAAGGCTGTTGATAAAAGGGGAGAATATACATGTGTGGAGGCAGGGGGTATATGGCAAATCTTTGTACCTTCCTCTCAGTATTTCTGTGAGCCTAAAACTGCTCTAAAAGTCTTTAAATTAAAAAAAAAAAAAAAAAAAGTTAAGCATAGAATTACCATACGACCCAGCAATTGCAGGCCTAGAAATATATCCAAGAGAAATGAAAACATATGTCTGGTACAGCAGAGTGATTATAGTCAATAATACTGTGTTGCATATTTGAAAGTTGCTAAGAGAGTAGATCTTAAAAGTTCTCATCACAAGAAAACAATTTTTTTCTATGTATGTGAAAGATGTTAACTAGACTTATCGTTCTGATCATTTTGCAATTTATACAAATATTTAATCATTATGTTCCACACCTTAAACTAGTACAATGTTATATATCAATTATGACTCAATTAAAAGAAATCTACACAGAAATTTGTACACAAATGCTTACAAACATTTCATGGTCATCTCCTTTTTAAACATAATGACACATTAGCATTATTCATAATAGTCAAAAGGTGGAAACAATCCCTACATCACCAATGGATGAACAGATAAACAAGCTGTGATATATATACATATGATGGATTATTCAGACATAAAAAGGAATGAAATACTGAAGTACTGATACATGCTACAACATGAATGGACCCTGAAAACATGATGCTAAGTGAAAGAAGCCAAACACAAAATGTCAGACATTGTACGACTCCATTTATATGAAATATCCAGAATAGGTAAATCCTTATAGACAGACTGCCAGGGAGAAAGGGGAGGGGGAAATGGGGAGCAACTGCATAAAAAGTACAGGGTTTTCTTTTGGTCTGATGAGGTGGTAGTCGCACAACACTGTGAATATACTAATAACACTGAATTGTTCACATTAAAATGGTTAATTTTGGGGGCGCCTGGGTGGCTCAGCCGTTAAGTGTTTGCCTTCGGCTCAGGTCATGATCCCAGGGTCCTGGGATCGAGCCCTGCATCGGGCTCCCTGCTGGGCGGGAAGCCTGCTTCTCCCTCTCCCACTCCCACTCCCCCCACTTGTGTTCCCTCTCTCGCTGTCTCTCTGTCAAATAAATAAATAAAATCTTTAAAAAAAAAATAAATAAATAGGGCGCCTGGGTGGCTCAGTTGGTTAAGCGACTGCCTTCGGCTCAGGTCATGATCCTGGAGTCCCGGGATCCAGTCCCGCATCGGCTCCCTGCTCGGCAGGGAGTCTGCTTCTCCCTCTGACCCTCCCCCCTCTCATGTGCTCTCTCTCATTCTCTCTCTCTCTCAAATAAATAAATAAAATCTTAAAAAAAAAAACATCTAAGAACTTGTTTTAAAAATCAGATTTCTGGCCTGTGCCCCAGAAAATCACTGAAGATGAGGCCCTGGGAACTATTTTTTTTTAAAGATTTTATTTATTTATTCATGAGAGACAGAGAGAGAGGCAGAGGGAGAAGTAGGCTCCCTGCAGAGCAGGGAACCTGATGCGGGACTCGATCCCAGGACCCCGGGATCACGAACCGAGCCCAAGGCAGACGCTTAACTGACTGAGCCACCGAGGCGCCCCTGGAAACTATTTTTAATGGGTACTCTGGATGACTCTCATGAACACAAAGTCTGAGAACTGATATCTAATTAATACAAGTTAATACAAATGATTACATATGTATCAGAGTCAAGAGAAGAGTGACAAGAGCAAAATGCATAAAAAAGAGGAAGGTGAAAAAAACAAAGAAAAATACTTCAAATTTTGGCACACTGTGCTCTAGGGAAAACAAAGTGATGTTTGAAAACTCTTGTAGAACTGATGTTGGAAAAAATTCTAAATGTGTAAATACACAAACCATTGTGCTAATACCAGTGAAGACCACTCAGGGTATGACATAGGAAAGCATTTTTAAATTTAAGGTTGCCTGGTACAGAAAGCACATAACATGCACAGAATGTCTGTTGACAATGTCAACTATTTTTTTTTTTTTTTTTTTTTTTTTTTAAAGATTTTATTTATTTATTTGAGAGAGAGAGAGAATGAGAGAAAGCACATGAGAGGGGTTAGAGTCAGAGGGAGAAGCAGACTACCTGCCGAGCAGGGAGCCTGATGCGGGACTCGATCCCTGGACTCCAGGATCATGACCTGAGCCGAAGGCAGTCGCTTAACCGACTGAGCCACCCAGGCGCCCGTCAACTATTTTTATAATAAGTACAGTTATATTTAATTATCTTCATCCTCTGATAATCCAGAGAAAACCAAACTTTTTGCTGTGTTAGTCTTTACATGAACAACAGCATGAATTGTCAAATATTATGTCAACTGCTGTGCAAGCTCAGGGTTGGGACATTTACTTTCAGACCAAGATAATCTCTATTTTTAAGGGCAGACTTATGTAAACAAGGACAGGCAAAACTAGAGTTAAATTTCTCAACACTAAGCATTCCATGATAGCGCTTAAATTTCCCTGAGAATCACTAAAATATGTATACAAGGATAGCCTTTATTATTCTAACTGTAAGCAAAGATTCCTGAAGATGAAGTATTAAGTTCTAACTCATTAATTTACTTCACTGAGGAAAATCCATTTTGGTGTAGCAGGCATAATGACAAGAATTTTACATTACATAACTCTCAAAGGATCTATCAGAATACAAAATTTGTCTACCTTCCCCATAAAAAAACATCTTTCCCCTATAAACTCATAAATTCAAACTGACGTTCTAAAGTCTCTTTTGCCTCACTTATTTAGACTGAGCCTTATAATGCATTTGGAAATCCCAATTATATTCCATGTAAACCTAAGGTGCAGATGTTTCAACATTTCCAGACATGATTCTTGTTCATCTCATAAATGAAACAAACTATACTGGAGGAATGAAGTAGCTAATGCATGCAAATAAACTACATGGGAAGTTATGCTACTTTCATAGGAGATTTTTATTTATTATCAACATTTGACTTGATACACCAAAGTCTAGAAGTATCTAAAAGTTCTCTGATACTTTTTCTTTTTGTAGTTTATGTTTCAAAAGGCAGACATCCCACAATTAATCCTTAACGGCTGGCTAAGGCAGATGTGTGGACTTCTTCACCAAGGTCTCACATTTCCTTCCAACAAGCAGTCAAGCAATATTCATCATTAACCCCATCTCCCAACTCCCCAGACATCCCTAACATGCTCAATGTGGCCCCTTCACACGCTTCCAGTCCAACCTACCCACACATACACACACACCATCCGTCTCCAAGTCTCTCACATTGGCACAACAAACAGCCTCTGAACATTCATCTGTTTTGCTAACCAAGGGCCATTCTTGCTTCTTCCACTGATCCTGCACAGACTTGACACTACCTACAATCTCTCGTTCCATTTCTTCCACAATAGTCACTATTCAAAGCAACAAAGAAACAAGTCAATGTTCCCTAACCGCAGACAGCTTATTTAACTAAATACCTCCCCCCACCCCCCCCCACCCCCCCGCCCATTCTCTTTCCTGCTTTTGTTATTTAGAAGGTGCAGGGTCTGGGAAAAATCTCACTCACCTCATGCTATAGGCACCAGCACCCAGTTCCTGGCCGATCCCGGACAGACTAGCATCAAAGTCCTGCACCAGCCCAGATTCAATCACTTCATCGGCCAGAGGTAGCTTCAGAGCCCAGGCCATGCTGGCTCCTTCCTTGCCCCAGGAGACACCGTTTCTTGTACAAAGGCAAGTAGTGTGATTCTACCCAATGGGGCCAAGACTGTCGAAAACTCCAAACCAAGATCTCCCACGCAGTTCCCACTGGCCAACCCCAGCCTGAACCGCACTGCCCGCACAACTAATTTGCCGTACCCTCGGCTCCTAGCTCCTGCCTCGACTTCCAAAATCCCTCCCACCCAGCTCTCTGGAGCCGCGCGTGGGCCCCTTTGCTTAACTATTCCAGATTCCCCTGAGGCAGCCCTGCACTCCCGTACTCTCAATCCTTGGGCTCTCCCCTTGAGCTCGTGGTGGTCACTCGCTGCCTTCCAAACAACCAGCAGCAGAGACCCGCTGCCTACCCGGCGCTCCCACGCCGCTTTCGCACCTTTTCCCCCGGTCCCCTTCTGCGGGAAGCCCCCCTCCCTCCGGGGGCCCGCTCTCTCTTTCCCCTCCAGGCCTCGCTTCCGGTCAGTCCCACGATCACTTCCGGTCGCCCCCTCTCAACCCCAAAGCTCTTAGAACCAAATCCAGGTCTCCGCCGAGCCAACTCCCCGCCCTCTGCAGTCCCCCACGGCCTCGGAACATGGAAGGGGAAAGTCCAGCACCGGCTGGAAACCCAGACTAGCCAGGGTCCTCCACCGCCCGCCGCCCCAGCGCCAACCAATCATGGCGCCCTCTTCCTTTGCGGGTCCGGAGAACGTGACGTCACCCCGTGGCTCGCCAATGAGGAAGAGAGTTCGTGGGCTTCGGCAGTGATAATAGGCTAGCTGCGCGACGGCCCCCCGCCCCCGGAGATGGGCTGGGCGGTCTAGGAGAGGAGCCAGCGTGCGTCAGGTGTCTCCTGTTTAAATGGCCCTCTCTGTGGCTACCTGAGGACTACTTTCCGCCGTGTACCGAGTCCGCGCTCTAAGGCGTGGGTGGAGCCTTCACTCTAGTCTTACCGAACCCACCCCTAGCCCTGGAGGATTCTGCACCGTTTCCCCGGCGCTCCCTGTAGGTGCTCCTTTGCTCCTGGAATACTCTCTCTGCTTAAACTCGCCTCTCCGAAGGTCAAGACTCTGCTTATCGTCATCCTTCGCATTCTCCCTAATGCATTTGAACAGGAAAGCATGAGATAGGTGAAAGTTGGAGTTTTTAAAAAGTCGTGGTCTGAATATTAGGATTTGGGCTGGCGTCTTCACTTACTAGTTTGGTGATTTTCGAATAATCGCTTAATCTCGTTGAGATTTCGATTCCTCGTTTGAAAAGTAGGGATAACCATCCCTGCTTCACCTTCCTTCGCTGTTTATTGAGCATCAACTATGTACCGGGAACTTTATGACATTATTAGTAATCCTCAAGACAATCTTGTAATTAGAATTATAGTTCTTTTTTTTTTTTTTTAAGGATTTTATATATTTATTTGAGAGAGAGAGAATGAGAGACAGAGAGCATGAGAGGGAGGAGGGTCAGAGGGAGCAGCAGACTCCCTGCCGAGCAGGGAGCCCGATGCGGGACTCGATCCCGGGACTCCAGGATCATGACCTGAGCCGAAGGCAGTCGCTTAACCAACTGAGCCACCCAGGCGCCCTAGAATTATAGTTCTAAAGCTAAGTATGATGACCCTCATTTTACCAGTAAGGAAAGAAGCCTACGGACTGAAATTTGCCAGAGCTAAATTGCCATGCCAACTTCAGAGCTGATTCCAAAGTCTGATATTTTTTACTATAAAATATTGCCTATATGTTAAAGTATTGGTTCATTGTTGTATTCCATTGTTGAACTTTTTACAGTTTGTCTTGAGTCGTATGTATCTGCCTTTTACACTAGACTGATTTCCTAAATAAGAGAAAAAAAATCTTTTTCAGGCTTGTGTTCTACATATCTCCTAGTATAGTTTCTGCATTCAGTAGGACTTAAAAAAAAAATGCTTATTGAATTAAGAAAGGAAAGAGGCTGGGCACCTAGGTGGCTCAGATGGTTAAGCATCTGCCTTCAGCTCAGGTCATGATCCCAGGGTCCTGGCATCGAGTCCTGCATCAGGCTCCCTGCTCAGCGGGAAGCCTGCTTCTCCCTCTCCCACTCCCCCTGCTTGTGTTCCCTCTCTCGCTGTCTCTCTCTGTCAAATAAATAAATAAAATCTTAAAAAAAAAAAAAAAAGAAAGAAAGAGGTTGACATGAAGTTTAACAGCATGCCCCCAGTTTCAGCCACAAGATTCTCTCTTTGAGGGCTCTAGGCTTACCTTAATAAGCCCTGGCATCCAAGTCTTGATTCCCTGGGACATTCAATGTCTCTTCAAGCCATTTCTTCTTCCCTTGAGCCAGTTTTATCTCAAAACATGTGTCTATAAGTAAACCAACTGGTCCTGGGCTCAGAAACCAAAAGAGAGATGCCATAATCAAAATCCTTTGTAAACAAACATTATATCCAGAGTATTTTTACACACCTGTTAGGTGGAACCATGCCTCCTTGAATTAACAGCTCCATCACTACATGCATAATCTGGGCAAGTAACTTTAAATCTCTGATGTTATAATGAGAGACTTGTATTTACTGAGCCCTTCCTCAGGGCAAGCCCTACCTAGGTGCTTTATGTATAGAAGCTCATTTAATTCTCTCATCACTCCTGGAAGAAAGGTACCACGATTAGATTCATTTCATAGATAAGGAAACTGAGACTTAGAAAAACTAATTGGCTTGTTCAGGGTCACCCAGTTTACGAGTGGTGAAGCCTGACTGATCTCACAGTCTGGACATCTAACCATCGTGCCACTCTGTCCCTGTGGGTGGTTTTAACCTAAAAAAGATCTGTTTCCTACCTATTCTTTTCAGAGGTGAATCTTGAAGCTTGTGGAGGTGAGAATATTGAATTATCAAAAACTGCACACATGAAGATGTCTTGGATGAAACATTTTTTTAATATGGAGAAAAATAGCTCAAAGTGAATGGATTTAAAATAAAACAAGGGGAGCACCTGGGTGGCTCAGTCGTGAAGCCTCTGCCTTCCGCTCAGGTCATGATCCCAGGGTCCTGGGATGGAGCCCCACAACGGGCTCCCTGCTCAGCAGGAAGCCTGTTTCTCCCTCTCCCACTCCCCCTGCTTGTGTTCCCTCTCTCGCTGTGTCTCTCTCTATCTAATAAATAAATAAAATATTAAAAAATAAAATAAAATAAAACAAGGAATATTCATATTAGATGTTTGGAAGAGATAATTACCATATCTAGGAATCTTATGGAGCCCTGTCCTCTGGAAAATATTTAGAAAAAGACAGACTTGTCTTTCTCAGAAATGTTTGAGCTTAAGTTTAAATTCTGAACCAAAATAAAGGCCACAAAAATCCTCCTTACCATTTATTAATTCTAAAATAAACTGGGGTAAGATGAGAAGTAATTCCTAAGCCTTGGCCCCTCGCAACTGGAATGCAGATCAGTCTTGAGATTTATGTCTGTGAGCCCAGATCCCCCTGTGGGGAAAAGATTTTACAGATTGTTTACCCCTGGAATGCTGTGACTGGGGGGAGTGGACTTTTCCCTTCCTCTCTCTTTCCCAATGTAACTAAAAGTGAAACTGGAGTGCCAGGGCTGGAAACAGGGATTTCAGGGACAGCCCTGAGAGCTCTGCTTCCAAGAAAAGATCACCAGGTATTCCTCTGGAAATCCAGCACCACCTATCAATAAACCAAATTTTGTATGGGTAAATTCATCCCACAACAAAAATCATGGTTCTTATTAGATACAGTATAATTAATTAGAGTACCTGTGACACAGAGCTCCAAATTCAGTATTCTGGACCACTGGGTGGAGTTAAGGCTTATCTGTAAAAGGTTCATTTCCCTAGATTAGGTCCCAAAACTAGACACTGTTTAGATGGATCTGAAGGGGTTCAGAATGAGCCTCCCCAAAATGTGCATTTTTGGCTTGTGGATTAATTTGAGCTGAAGTCAATCAAGGCCTGAAAGGCTAAGGAAAAGATTTTATCTTCCCTTTAACTGCCTAAAATAATTTAGATAGAAGGCCTAGTCCAGGAAGAGAACTATCATCAGAGATAACTACAAAGAAGATGAGCTAAGTATGGTAGCTATGGGAAGCTCAAGGGCCTATTTGTTCAGATTCCTTTCTGGCTCCATTGTCTCTGCATGCCATGGCAAACATTTGCTTGCCAAACATTTGCTCTTCCCATCTTCCTGTAAATTATCTTCCTCCCCTTTAAAGTGTCAGGCCCCAACCCCCTTCCCCAAAGCTCAGGATGCCATATAAGCCTCAATTGCCTGACCACTTGTGGGTCTCATATTCTTATGGGGATGTTGTACATATGTAATTAGATTTGTTTTTCTCCTGTTAAGTGTGTTTTATGTCAATGTAATTAATAGACCCACCAAAAGAATCTAAAAGGGTAAAAGGAAAAATTCTTCCTCTTCTACAGAACACAGCAGAGCTGACCCTGGGTGGTAAAAAGATGTGGAAATCCTACCAGTAAGATCAGGACAGAAAAGTAATTCCCAAGTCCCATCCTGTATGGGGTAAAAGTTAAGCACACAGGCTTTAGAGGCAACTTACCTGGGTATGAGACCTGGTTCTGCAGCTCACAAACAAAGCAACCCTAAGTAGATTCCTCATCTTCTCTGTGCCTCAAGTCCTTATCTATAAAATGGGTATAATAGTGTCTTATTTTACAGAATTATGGTGAGAATTAACTGACAAAATGCATGTTAAGTGCTTAGAAGAGTACCTAGAACATAGTTGTGATCAGTAAGGGTTAGCTATTATGATTGACAAAAAGGGGACCCTAGCACCTGTCCTGCCTACTTCTCAAGACAAAACAATTCTCTCAGAGGCTTGAGGGCTCAAGCTTCTGGGTCAGCATCCATCCATCCCCTAGGCTTCCCTTCTCACTCAAATACTGAAGTCAGTCACAGTTGCTGGGTTCCCCAGTCAATTAGTGGGCATTTTCTTCTAGATACAGGAAGAAACCATTAACCAGGCAGGCTTTGTTGAGGGACTGACCACCTAATTTTAACTCTTCACATTTTCCTACATCCCCCCAGACAAGCCTGTGAGCCCCAATCTGGCTTCTTTGAAGGACTCTGTAGTTGAGAGAAAAGGAAATCAAAACCTTTCATAGCCATGCAGCTCCAGGCAACTTCTGGTTGCCTGCATCTCTTATCTGTAATCCAGAAACCAGCCCACATCTTCTCCAGCCCATAAAAGATCAGTTCCCTCTTCACAGCAGTCCTCAGCACAGTGGACATCTGCGATATTGTGATTTATAAGAAATATATATATATATATATATATATATAGTGTATTATATGTGTGTGTGTATATATGTGTATATGTGTGTATACACATATGTGTGTGTGTGTTTATATATATATATATATATCCAGATGACCAAAACATAGTCTCATATATATTTGGTCTTCACCCACAGTTCCTGGCTCACAGCTTCCAAAACCCTTGGAGTTTCCTGAACAATAGAGCTATGGGAGCATCTTTTGTGATATTTTGTCTCTGTCCTCAGTTCCTGAAAATGCTTCAGAGCCATGAAGGTGAAATGGGTGTCTTGTTATTCATAACAAGCTCCGTTTCACCACAGCTGGGTTTGTTAATGAAGGTGGCTTTTGGAAAACACTTAAGGATGGGGGCTGGTTGCCAGGGAAACCAACCATGAATAGTGGGTTGGAACTTTCAGTCCCACCCCCTGATTTCTGGGAAAGGGAGAGGGGCTAGAGTTTCAATCAATCACCAATGACCAATGAGTTAATCAACCATGCCTATGTAATGAAACCTTTATAAAGATCCCAACGGAGGGTGTTCAGAGAGCTTGCAGGTTGGGAAATAGAACCGTTCCATGTGCCACTGCGCCAGGGCCCCAAGCTCCATGAACACTGAAGCTCCTTTGTTCTGGACCTTGCCATATGTATTTCTTCATAGGGCTGTTGATTTGTATCCCTTAATAACCTTTGTAATAAAGCAGTAATCTAGCGAGTAAATGGGTTTCCCTGAGTTCTGTGAGCCATTCTAGTAAATTAATCTAGAACCCAAAGAGGGGGTCATGGGAACCTCTAATGTATAGCCAGTTGGTCAGAAGTGTAGGTAACAACCTATCCTCACAATTAGCATCCTGTTGGAAGGGGACCGTTGGAGCCTGCAATTTGTAGCTGGTCAATCAGAAGCACAGGTAAGAACTTGGGCGTGTGATGGTATCAGAAGTGGAGGGTGGTCTTGTGGGACTGAGCCTTTTACCTGTGGAATCTGATGCTATCTTCAGGTAGATATTGTCAGAACTGAACTGAATTCGTGGATACCTTGTTGGTGTCTGAGCATTGCTTATTGGTGTGGGGAAGCCTCCACACACACGTCAGAATTGAGTCCAGAAACCCAAAAGAACATCTCAGACCTGGGAATAGAAATTGCAGTCCTCCACAAAACCACCCCTCTTCGTTTCAGGCTGTCCTGGGCCAAACGCCAGGAACCACATTCAACTGGTTTGAGCCAGAGAGATCAGCTTCTACCAACTCTTCTGGTGGGAGCTGCTGGGAGCTGCATTTCTCAGGTCAGGACCAGTTGCTGCCCAGATTCCATTCACTCCCACATATCACAGTCTAAACCCTGCATAGCTAAGCAGAATCCTCTATACCTGCTTTCTCCCAGGAGTGTGATGTCAGGAACTCAGCTCTCATTATTTCCTTGAAGGAGAGGACAGGAAACGCATTCAGTCATCTATCTGATGTTCATCAAGCACCTACTGTGTGCCCCTGGCCTGGGTACTGAGGAGTCCCAGCCTAGTGTGGACAGCTAATATTAGGGTTGTGACATCTATGCAGAGGTAAGCGCTGGCTTCTATTTGACTTTTCTGCCCCATTATTTCAGAGTGCTATAAAGCTCCTTGGATCCCTAAGCCCTACATCAGAATGTTGGACACCTTTTGTCCCTTGGGCAGAGGTGGAGTGGTAGAGCAAGATCTAGAATCCAGCACAGGGCCTGGCTCAGGGATGTTGATTGGGTGGAATCAGAGGTGATGCCTTGCTCTCACCAGTTTAGATGATGGAGCCCAGACCTTATCAATACCAGATAGGTGGAAGGGGGAGGAGGGGGGGTGCAGGGGTGCATGGCATGAACCCAACTCCTAGGAAGTAGACAGGTAAAGAGAGGGGCCCATATTGCAGTCATGCTCTCCCTGCTCTAAGCCCAAGTGCCAGGTCTGCCCCTAACATTTGTAGGCCTAAGGAAGAGCACAAATGAAGATCCACTTACCACACAGCTAAATTTGTATCAAGTCTAAGTTAACTGTGAATGATCTAGCCTTGTGTCATGATAAGCATACCTTCATAATAACCTGAAGTTCTGTGTTAGAATGTTCCGCAGCCTTGGTCCCCAGCCTACAGTCTGTCTTCTCTTCCCCCCTGGCACACCCACCTCACACGGCAAAGGGCTTTGTGGGTATTTATAAACACTCCAGCTTGTATGTCCAAGCTCCATCCACTCAGCTCTCTGACAAATATCTGACCCGGAGGAGAGGTCAGAAAGTGGGCTTTGCAGGGAATTCTGAGGTCCTGGAAGGAGAAAGGGCACATCCTCTTGACCCTGCATTCCGTGGGGAGGATCCTGGCTGGAGGGTCACGGCAGGGCTTTCTGAAGTGAGAGGCCAGGGCACTAACGCTCGCCCTCCTGCAATGGGGTTTTCCAGGCTACAAGCTCTGATGGCAGACGTAGCTCCCTGGTAATTGTCTGGCTTCTCCCTATCAGCTCCTGAGAGGCGAAGGATCAACAAGCAGACCCGTACAAAAGAAAAATACTGTTTATTCCACACAACTACATCAAGTGCTTCATCCCCATTCTTCCCTCCCCAGCCCTCAGCAGGCTTTGCCCCTTGTGGGGGGACAGTCAGAACCTGTGTCAGAGCCTGGCCTAGGAGACAGAAAGGAAATCTAGGCATAGGAAGGTGAGTGGGTCCAAGGGCACAAGAACGTCAGGGTTTCTCTCATTCCAGATTCAAGTGTGTTCCTCAATCCGCTTGGCCAAATTCTTCCCTGGGCCCCCACTAGATAAAATGCCGTGGATAGGGCAGGGTCAAAGACCCCAGCTGATTCACTGGGCCACAGAAAGTTTTGGTCTTTCTTTCATTTAAAACAAAAACAAACACCACCACACGCAGACAGTGAAATCATTTCTGCCCTTTCTCCTGCCTAAGCTCTGGCTCTGTCCGGAAAGGTGCTTTCAAAACAAAAGTTATATAAACTCCCTTCAGAGCCTGGTGCTACCAGAAACAAAGCAGAAAACCCACCTCGGGTACAGATAGCTGCTCCCCGAGGGTCCGACATGGGAGAGCAGGAACAGAGACAGCAAGCCGGTGAGCTCTGCCCTGGGCCATTTCAGGGATACTCTGCACCCCCCTGCCTGGGGAATTCAGCCTGCAAAAATCCTGTTCCTCGGAAAGACCTACCCATCCTTCCTGGAGAGGAGAAAATGGTTTCATTCTAGCCCAGCCTCGGGAAGACAGATTTAGAAAAGGGAGGAGCTGAGAAAGCATGGCCAGGCCTAATTTAGACCAGAACTTCATTATCTTTTTCCTTTCGCAGACCAGGACAGATGGGTTCCTCCTGCATCTCCAGGGCCACGGCCACACCCTGGATTATATGCTACTCCCAGGGCTCCAGCTGTGACCCACTTGTCTTTCCCAAAAAAGAAAGCATATCTGAACGCAAGTGTTTGAGGGTGAAAACCTGTCTCTCTCTGATTTATTGAAGGGTAAGTCACTGAATCCTTTGCCAACCCCAGTACTTTAACTCTTCTTACTAAAAACTTGCTTAGCACGCCTCTCCCAAGCCAGTTCGTCTCATGCAGACAGGGTGGATAACCCTAAACTGGAGTGTGACGCCTCCCCCCGGGAGACATATTCTCTCCTGGGAGGCCGGGGCAGGCAAGGTGCCTGCCTGCTTCCTCATTCTCACCACACTCGGGAAGGTTTGGTTGGTCTGAACGTAGCGGGGCAGAGGGGTGTGTGTGTGTGTGTGTGTGTGTGGCAATTTGACACACAATTGTCCTCTCACACTCTGGCAATGTAGGGCCTGCCAGGGACCAGTCGTAGGCAGGAAATGACAGCAAGCCAGAGGAAGCTAGACCAGGAGGTGGCTCTGCCACAGTGACCAGTGGGGGTGGGGATGGGCCCTCGCCTCACAGCCACTTCATCGGGGTATATCTTGTGAGGTGTGGAGCTGGGCGGCTGCTATGGACCTGGCTCTGTGACTTGTGCCCCTTTAGGGACAGTCTCCTGGGTTCATCTAAGCCAACCTCTTAGTGCTCTCCTGACCTCCCAGAGTGATATACTGAGTTCCAGGGGCTGTCCAGCCACCGTGAGGCTGGGAAACTCACTTAGCAGCTTGGGTGAGATGCCAGCCCTTAACGTGCCATAGCTGTCCTTTCTACAGGTGACACCCATCCTGCCTCAGGGGTCTTCTTGACTGGGGGCGGAGAGGGGGAGCGAGGATTGTTTGCACAAACACGTGATCTAAGACTTTGGACAAAATAAGATTTCTCCTCCAGTATCCAAGGCTCAAAGTCTCAAAGAAAATTAAGAGTTAAGTCACCTTCTGCAAGAGACCTTCCTGGGCTGCCACCAGTCCTTTCTGGATGTTGGCCTTTTCCCCGGGCCCTTGCTGTTTGGTTTAGTGTTTCATTTGCCCCTTCTGAGAAGGCCCGGCACTGGGTTGGGGGTGGGTGGGAGGACAAGAGAAAGAGAGAGTCAGCATTCCTTCCCTCATTTTTCTCCAGGGTGCTGCGAGAGCTTGGGCAATGGGATTTTCCAGGCTGCCAGTTCTTTATCCCTCACTGTTTAGTGGAGACAGCCATGGGCAGAGATTAGATTAAAATCTGGGAGGACGGGCTTATTTACTGAGTTCCCAACGTGCTGTACACCCAGGTCAACTCCAGGACAGCTAGAGTTCAGAGCTGCTTCCTTCCACCATGGATTACAAATGAAAAGGTTCTGCTTTAGTGCAATTTCCCCCCAAAAGGAATCAGGAAGAAGTGGGAAAGGAGATCACGTGTTCTGGCCCCAGGGCTGCGGGAACCTTCTGACCTTGAAGGCAAGGCAGACACTGAGCCTGACCTTCTGAGCAGCTCATCACACTTTTCAGAATTGTGCCTCTTGGGTCCTTTGCGGGGGCAGGGGGGGGGGCAGGCAGTGTGCCTGCAGGCAAAGGGTGGGAGGTGAGGCCGCAGTCCCTGCCACACTTACACACAGGAGCAAAGGGGAAGAGAGGGCCAGAGAGAATGCCATCAAAAACAAGAGCTAATGGCCAGGGGTCCTTCGGGGGCTGTGGTAGCCCTGCCCCAAGGACGGGGGGGTGTCTGGTTCCCAACCAGAATTCACCCTTCGAAAACCACATTAGCAAAGTGCTTCTTTAAGTGAGGGAGGGGTCCCTCGGCATGACCGGCCCGAGCCTGCAGCTCTCCGGTGGGCCCCTCTGCCCTCCCCATGCTGTGAGATACGTGGAGGAGAGGAGGGAGGCAGCGGACACACATGCACACGGTGGAGTCTCAAGACCCAGGACAAGCACAGCTGCACGCCACACTGTGACAGGTGCTGTCACGGCGGTGGCTGCAGCCAGGTGCCAAGGGAGAAGTACAAAGTGCTGGAACGCAGGGCTGGGGGCTGAGCCCTAAGGGATCTGAAAGACATTCAGCTTGCTGGTGTTCTTGAGCGTCTGGCGCCGATTGCAGAACCAGACCCGCACCACCTCCCGGTCATAGTTGAGCTCCTTAGCAATCTCAGTGATCTCCTGGCCTGTGGGCAGTGGGTTCTTCTCAAAGTAGGCATTCAGGGCCTCTATGGCCTGGGGGGTGAAGGAGGTGCGGCGTTTGCGTTTCTTGGAGGGCTCACCTCCCACAAACTCCATCAGGTTCTGCTGCCCTTCCTGGTTCCGGAGTTCGGCTTCATTCAGCCACTTTTCCAGCACTGGCTTCAGCTTCTGGGCACTCTTGGGCGTGATGTCCAGCTTCTCGAACCTGTGGGTGACCCGAGCCCAGGGAAGGGACGGTGAGAATGTCTTATTCCTCACACTGGAGTGTGAGTACACTCCGCAAGGGGCCGCTCCTCTCAGGCCTGGTGACATTGGACTAAATGTTCCCCTCACCACCCCCACCAAGACCACCCTGGCCCAGCCAAGCCCGGACTCCTCAGACTGTCCTGCATCCCAGGTCATACCAGGGAGACCACTCCCATGGCCTCAGTTCAGTGGTGCAAGGATAACAGTGCAACTGCTGTATGAACAGCTCTTCCAGAACGTTCACACCCAAGTAAGTGAGGTCCTCTGAGGAGTTGTCTAGAGAGGCTTTCAGAGATGGCACATGGATGTCACGAGTGCACCTCTCCAGTCAGCCCCACAGCAGCCTCACCAAGTCAGACAACTCTTTCTGACCAAGCCCAGACGGGACTGCGGAACTGCCAACATGGAGCCTGCTCTAACAGTCACTCTCGTCGGATCCAGGGAGTCGGCAGGCACCTTTTGGCCATCCCTGAGCCATGGGCTCGTTCTGGTTTGAAACCCTCTGCCCTCCTTTGATGATGGCGCCAGAACCAGTTTGAACACTGCACGCAGAAAAATCAGCTCCATCCCTTTATAGTCATGCCTTGGAGGAGGGGGAGATGGGGGCATAACCGGGGAGGGGGGGGCAGCGGGGGTCGTGGTTGAGAGCCAAGTCAGTACCGAAGGTCCCGCTTTGGGGACCAACTTCATAAGCTGTACTCCTTTTTCTGTGGGGTTCCTGAATGGATTAGGGTCTTGGGTTCCCTGAATGGATTAGGGTCTTGGGTTCCCCCCACCAAAAGACCACATAAATGCTCAGGATTGGAAGATAAACTACAGAAGGCCCTCAGATGGACTGCATCAGTCTTTGGCTACTCTAGGTGTTCATGTCGATCCTTAGAACAGCCTTCCTGGTCTAGAAGGAGGCAGGAGCAAGGGACAATATGGAAAGGAGCCATGCACCTGGGTCCCAGTGAGTGCCCAGGGACATCAGGTGCCTGAGCAGGACTTACTCACCTGCAGATAGCTGACTGGCTGTAGGCTGGGCCCTCCGTGGCAGTCAGAGCCTGACCCACCTGAGTCTGCGTGAGGCCCAGGGACAGCCGTCGGATCTTAAAGTTCTTGGCAAACTCCCGGATCTCTTCCAAGTTGATTCCGTCCTCATCCAGACTTGGGGTATGTGGCTCTAGGCCAGAGGAAGGGACCAGGGGTGAGTGTGTAAGACAGATGATATCACTGCTTATCTAGCTTATTGGCCTGGCCTGGTAAAGTAGTGAGGGATGAGGACATTTGACAAAAGGCCCACGCACCCTTACTGTCCTCTTCGCCCCTATTCCCAAAGCAAACAAGCCTTGCAGGAAAGGAGCCTGGACTAACTGTCGGGAAGTAGGGGTCTGTTTTCAAGTTCTTCTAGCTCTAATGGCCGACCCTCCCCCATTCTCCCTACTCCTAGCCCCAAGCACACCTTAGCCATCCACATTCCTCAGATACTGGGTGAGAGACCAAAGGAGAGACAGCCAATGGGTTGGCTTCTAAAGAAGCAGCCTCCACTATCATCATGCCTAGAATCCAGCTCAGCAGGAATGGGAATTAGAGAGCCAATCCCTGGTGTCAGGCCTTTGCCCTTCCCCTTTGGACTCTAGAAAGTTTATTAAGGAAAGCAGCATCTAAAGGCGCTGGGGTATTTGAATAAATGCCTCCTCTCCTCTTCTCTACAATCTTCTCCAGGAGCCACTTACTGGATACCAACTGGCTGACAGTAGGGGTCTCAGAGCAGGTGATTGGAATGGGAGCAGAGGCAGATGGCTTGGCCGCTGGGGCTGGGCTGGTGATGACCACCGCAGGCTGGGGCACGGCTGGCGTGGGCTGGATGGGCTGTACCTATGAAAAGAGAGTCCATGAGTCCCCACTGCCCACCTGCCTGGCTTAGGGGCTTGCAGTCCCTGCAAGGTCCAGAGGCAGGGCAAAATGGGCATGAAATCCTCACCCACCTGGCACACTCCTACCTATGCGCCATCACAAAGCGAGACTTACAAGCTACTTATTAGCACCCACCTAACAATCATGACCAAGTTGGAGCCTCTTAGGCACCTGTGACAAGGCAGGTTAGAGGCTCAGAAAGTTTCAGTACAACTTGGTCAAAGCCCCAACAAGTATCCACCCTTGAGATAACTGCTCTCAAATCTTTTCCCTCAGAGCAGAAACCGAAACCTGATTCTAGGGCCTCCCAGGCCCCAAATGTCCATCAATAAGGAACTGGCAAGTGATTCCTGGGACTTCCCTACAGTGAGATTCTATGCAGCTATTAAAAAGAGTACAGTAAATCTCTTGAATACTGACATGCAAAGAGCTCTGGGTCACAGTGCTAAGTGGAAAAAAAGGTAAAGTGAAAACAGTTTTTAGAGAATAATTCCTATTAAAAATACGTATGGGGATGGGTTAGCCCGGTGATGGGTATTAAAGAGGGCACGTACTGCATGGAGCACTGGGTGTTATGCACAAACAATGAATCATGGAACACTACATCAGAAACTAATGATGTCATGTATGGTGATTAACATAATAAAAGAAAGAAAAAAGAAAAAAAATACATATGGGGGCGCCTGGTGGCTCAGTCATTAAGCATCCACCTTCGGCTCAGGTCATGATCCCAGGGTCCTGGGATCGAGCCCTGCATCAGGCTCCCTGC